AGGGGATCTTAACCCTTGACTTGGTGTTGTCAGCACCACGCTCAGCCAGTGAGCGAACCGGCTAACCAGCCATCCCTATATGGGATCCGAACCCAGGGCCTTGGTGTTATCAGCACCGCACTCTCCCGAGTGAGCCATGGGCCAGCCCTTCATATTCCTTTTCTTAAGAAGATTTTAATTTAGGTAATTTAATTTAGGTGACCTTCAAATTTTGATTCATCAACTCAAGTCTTTTTTAAATGTATAAAAGCAATGTGTATACTTGTAAGTGAAAATTTAACCAGTATTGTAAGGTGTAAAATAAAAAATCAAAGCCTCTTTTTCTACTACCCTATCTCTAGTCCCATTCTCCAGGGCTTAAGCACTTTTGTCTGTTTCAGTGTTCCCAACATAACTAAATAAATCAAGCTATATATGTATAGCATATGTATCTCAAGCTATATGTAAGTGTGTGTTAAGTGCAAAGTATTTTTTCCTCCCAGTTTTTATTAGTTACATTTTTATGTTTAGTTCTTTTGGTTACCTTTAATATTTATAAATGACATTTGACTCCTCATTGCTTGAACTCTCCCCTATCTCCCTTCCAGTTTCTATAAGCTATAATTAACTGTTGTAAGTGTTCTATATGTATTAACTTATTTAACTTGCTGTAACCCAGTGAAGTAGTTTTCATTCCTCTTTTATGGAGTGTGACACTAACACACAGAAAGGTTAAATTCTTGGTTTCATAATAGAGGCTTTGGTCACTCGAGCATGCTCCAGTCTTTCAAAAGTAAATATTTATTGGATTCTTAATTTGCCTCAGCACTGTGTTGGGTGCTTGAGATATAGTGGTATGTCAAACTAAGTCTTAGTCCTTTTGGAGCTTATGGTCTCTATAGTATGTCTCATTTCTAGATCTTGATGGTCCAGTCATCCTAAAGCTGCAGATCCCAACATCTTTATCAATCCTGGATCAAAGAGAATTGGTCCTAATATATAGGATTTACCAAAACGGATAGTTTTACTGGAGGAGTAAAGTTTTTAGGAAGTTTCAGCTTCAATTCATTCATTTAAATATTGTAGAAGAGTGTTCCTAAAAATCTGAAATGCTCTAAGACCTGAAATTTTTTAAGCATCAATATTACGCTCAAAGGAAATACTCATTGGAGCATTTTGGATTTCAGATTTTCATATGAGGGATGCTCAACACTCCCCCCCCCACACACACACCCAGAGTAATGAACTCTCATGTGTCTGTCACCCACCTTCAACAATTATCAATTCATGGACAGTCGTCTTTCATTCAACCTTCTCAGTTATTTTGAAGTAAACCCAGGCCTAACATTATCATTTTAGTAGGTATTTCTAAATGATGATGATTACTCTTTTTCTAAACATAAAGATGCTTTAAAGAATATAAGCACACCTTTAAAGAACAAACTAATTCTTTAATATTAAATATTCCATGGGATTCAGAGCTTCCCAAATATCTCATAATTCTCTATGCTGTTTATTCGTTTGAATTAAGGTTCATAAATTTTATTGTTTGGTATATCTCTTAAGTCTCTTTTAATCTAAAGGTTCTCCCCCTTTCTCTTTTCCTTGCAATATTTGTTGATGATTTACTTAAAGATAATCATCAGTTTTATTTCTTCGGGTATTCTTTCAAATGTGTTTTCTCATTCAACCTTTTATGAAAGTGATTAGTATAAACTTTTAAAATGGGGGTAAAATTACAATTAAATGCTTAAGATCTTAAGTGTTTGGTTGATGAATTTTGACAGTTGTATACATCAGTGTGTTGATCACCCAGTGTATTTTGTTTTTAGTTCGGATCTTTTTTTGATGGGAAAAGAGGAGAAATTTCTTTTTCTTGGAACTCTAAAGTTTAGAGTAACTACAACATCAAGGAGAAAAGAATAATCATTACTTGCTATTAGAAATATAAATTTGGAATATAAAACTTTGTTTTTTAGCAGCCAGATAGGTGAATTTAGAAAATCTAAGTTTTGGAAAATACTGCCTGCTAGAAGGGTATGTGTAACATGTTACAGCTAAAGGTGAGAACTGTAAATGCACTGCATTGGAATTTATATCTTTACCAAAGGTTGTGGCTATCTGATTATTCCTCTAGATTGCATGCATCCTTCCCTGCATCCTCCATCTCTTAGTTTCAAGCAGCTGATGGAGTTCATCTTCTCTAAATTTCTTTAAAGTCAGGAGGTCATGGGGTTGTTGAGACCAGCAAAGCATTAACTGCAGTTGAGGCATATAAATGTCTTGAGTATGCTATTTGACAGACATTAGCCAAGTTGGTTCTTTCATGTTTGCTTGTCCATAATTTGAATTTGTTATATTTAAATTTGGGGATCTTTTATTGATTGGCTGTATTTTGTTAGACTAGTGCATTGATCTTAGTTTGATACCAGTAGGAAGGAAAAATGGAAGTTACTAAGAGTTACTGAGTGGCTTCTCTTTGCGAGCAGTCATCTTAAATACAACCTTCTTAACTACCAAGTGATGGAGGTGATGACGGCCATTTCATAGATTGCTTAGATTGGGAAACAGAATCAGAGTTCTAGTGATTTTTTCCAAGGCCATAAATCTAGTAACTACCAGGAGCAAGCATCTAAATCCTGAATGTTTACTCCCGAACTATTAAAACGTTTTCACTAAGGGCCGAGCCTGTGGCGTACTCAGGATGCGGCGCTGGGAGCGCGGTGGCGCTCCCGCTGCGGGTTCGGATCCTATATAGGGATGACCAGTGCTCTCACAGCGCTCACTGGCTGAGCGCGGTGCAGCTGGTCTCAAAAAGGACAAAAAAAAAAAAGTTTTCACTAAAATATTCTGCCTTCATGAACATTAGAAACCTAAGTAATAGTAACTCTGCCTATCACAATTTATGCTTCTTAGATGTAAAGGCATTTATTTCGTATGAAAAAAAATATTTAAAACAATATCTATATCAGATTCAATTGTGACATAATTTTCTGCATGAACATGCAAGTCTCAAGTTGTTTCAAGGTAAAGTTTTGTACTAAAAAGTTAATAAAGCAAAATAATTTGTTTAATGCCTATGATGCAATATAATGACATTAGGCCAGTATTAGTGTTTTTAAAGACAATAGGAAAATTCTTTATGGAATTGTCTTCAGATAATTCAGTTCAGGAAGTATGGCTTTCTTAAAACTTGAGCTTACTCAAATTTCTAGTTCTTCATTGAATTTGTAGTTTGATTTTTTTTTTTTTTTTTTGTGACCGGTAAGGGGATCGTGACCCTAGGCTTGGTGTCGCCCGAAGTGCGCTCAGCCAGTGAGCGCACCTGCCATCCCAATATAGGATCTGAACCCGCGGCCTCGGCACTCCTAGCACTGCTGTGCTCCCAGCGCCGCACTCACCCGAGTGAGCCACAGGGTCGGCCCTAGTTTGATTTTTTTTAATTAAGTGGAAAGTCTCCATTTTCATTTTATGGAAAATAGGTTCATTTAAAAGCTTTTTCTAGGGCTGGCCCGGTGGCGCACTGCTACAGTGCGCCGCTTGGGAAGCACGGTGGCACTCCCGCCGAGGGTTCAGATCCCACATACAGACCGGCCGCTCACTGGCTGAGCGCGGTGCGGGAGCAACACCGAGGGTTGCGATCCCGTTGCCGGTCCCGGTCCGGTACGGGCGCGACACTGAGGGTTGCGATCTGTAGCCGGTCACGAAAAAAGACAAAAAGGAAAAAAAAAAAAAAAGCTTTTTCTAAAAGTCACATTAATATAAATTTGTTTTCAAAGAGATGATATCTTTTATGCCTTTTAAAAATTGTTTACCCCTATTTAGATCTGCATATGATGCAGATTTAGTTTTTTAATCACCTAAATTTTATTTTTTCTTTAGATGTTCTACTTTGTAAACAAATTTTGGATTTTAAATATTTTAATCTAAATTGTTACATATACCCAGCTTGTTACTAGAATTCTTGTCTCTAAGATTCTGCTTCCCCCCAAAAAACCCATTCAAGATTAAGAAAACCAACTGCTTCTTAGACTTGTCATGATATATATATATATATATATATTTTTTTTATATATATATAAATAGTTGCCTTTTTCTTGGTTTCATTGAGCTTTTGTGTTCTTACAAGAAACAGATATCAGGAAAAAAGATGATGGTTTTCTCTAACAGAAGTACGAATTGTTTCTACAAAGGCCTTTTTACCTAAAGTTGGTTGGGTAAGACAAATGGAACAAATAGTTAAGCTCATTCCTTCTGCACTTATTTTGAACTTCAAAGCTCCTAGTTTTAACCTATGGTTCAGTCCCATCTTACTAGATTTAAGTGGCTTTTGTTTTGTTTTTTTTTTCATGCAGGTTCTGCTCATTAATCACCACGAGTGTGGATCTGAAGAAGAGTTTATTACCTCTCTTTTTTTGAGTATGTTTAACTTCAGATACACACAACGTAGCCTCTCCTTCCCTATTAGATTCTTAGAAGGTAGTTATATTTTTTATAGTCTCCTTCTTGTGGCTTTGGTAGTTGTGATCAATAAGAATAAAAACTATTCCTTTCATACTGGGCTACTGCATGCAAATCAGTTCATTTAAAACCTCCTGGAGGTCTTTGGCATGCCAGACATAAAACTATGAGTGTTTGTTTGTGGAGGTAACCATGTTCCAAAGAAATCTAAGAGCAAGAATCTGGGAGAATTACCCTTTAGGTTCTGGGAATCACTGACTTTAAGGGGCTTGCTTTTGATGTGTGATTTTGAAATTAATTTAAAATGGGAGATGATAAATTAGAAATATTTTTGTGGTACTAGATATACCTGAATGAGTAGTAGAGAGAAATTAGCTTGCATTGTAGCTACTGTATGCTTAACAAAATAGCTGATTTATCATGCCTTATTAGTTAAACATTAATGAGCATATATTTTTTCATGTTTGCAATTTTTAGACAAATTGATGTACCTTTCCTCTTGTATGAGGATATGATGAATAAAATATGATATATAAATTTTGTTCTTTTTTTATGTCTAGGGCTGGAAAAAGGAACGAATTCTGGCTGAATACCCTGATGGTAGGATTATAATGGTTCTTCCTGAAGACCCAAAGTATGCCCTGAAAAAGGTATATTTCTAGTGAAATTTCACATAGAATGAATAATTATTTTACAGTGAACTTTAAGAGTATAACACATTGCTGGCATAGTACATTTAAACACCAATTCTGAAGAAAAGAAACAAGCATTTAAAGAATATAACCCAATTGAAAAATTATGCCAAACTTTGTAGTGTGTCCAGAATATGTGAAATGAATTTTAAATGAATTGATTACTGTCCAGTATTACTAATAATTTGAGTGATAAAATAGAATGCCAAGTAAGTGATTTCAAGAAGTAGAATTAAAACTAAAAGTTGAGTCATAATAACTTAGAAAACTAAAATTAATAAAATGTGAAGTTTTACTCTAATAATAAATTTCTAAGTAAAAGCTTATCACAGCAGGGGATTTAGCAGTAGGTCATAATAAATCTGAAATTAAATGTGAAGTAATCATATAATATTTTTAAGAGAAAAAAAGATGTATCTGGACTTAGAAATACAATGTAGAAAGATAAAGAAAAGTTCCTCTTATCTAGTGTGAGCCAGGTCTTAGTCCAACTTAGAGTTCCATACTTTGAGGATTCAGAGAGTTTACTGTGTTGAGAAATGAACCAGAGAGAGAATGAAGTCTGGAGCCGTTTTGTCACAGGGGCACTTCAAAAAGTTCATGAAAAAATAGAATTAAAAGATGACAAGAGTCCATGAACTTTTTGAAGTACTCTGGTAGTGTATCTTAAAAGTCAGGAACCAAATAATATATTTATACTCAGTATGTTTTTCTTTAACCTCTGGATGCTTTTTCAGCAGAAGTACCTCATAACATAAGCAATGAGTCCAACTGTTTACCTGAAAAACTTGAATAATTACACTAGAATGTGTCCAGAATGTCTGTAAACACATGGAAAATAGTTTACTTAGGTTGACAGTTGGGCCTCTTTAGAAAATTTAGGAATACTTCACCTGAAAAGGAGGCTGACAGAAAACACTTAGCTACATTTTCAAATAATAGATGCATACATTCTATAATGTTAAAATATGTTTATCCTGCAGTTCCAAAATTTGTTTATCCTGTGCCTCTTTAGAAAATTTAGGAATACTTCACCTGAAAAGGAGGCTGACAGAAAACACTTAGCTACATTTTCAAATAATAGGTGCATACATTCTATAATGTTAAAATATGTTTATCCTGCAGTTCCAAAATTTGTTTATCCTGTGGTTCCTAACTTTTCAGATGCCCTGCACATCTGACTGGACAATCCCAGATATCCAAATACTCCCTTGTACTACCACTGCCTAACAGTATAGACAGTAGCATTTAGAATGACACATAAACATGCCCAACCTGTCTTGTATTTGAGACATTAATCTTTGCACCAAAATAAATACTGTTGAATTAAAGTTGGATCAGTGATTGACTACATGAAAATTAAATTATGGAATTTTGGAAATTCCAACTATATAATCATTTGGACACGCACAGTGGGAGCTTTACTACACTACTATATGTGGTAGCCAGATTTTTCTTACTAAGAATCCTCAGTAAATGTTAGTTTCCTCATTTTAGTTTCTCAGGGCAAAATCTTGGTAACCTACAATTCAGTATTTTACTAGTTAATAACCCCTAATAGGTTAAAAATTAAAATCTAGTGAATTGTGGGTCACTTGCCCTTAGGAACTGAATCAGGAGTTGTATTGTAGGATACTGTCTCAGGATTAGGAGGACTTGAGTTTTCATCACTGAATAGGGGATGTGCAGCATGGCATTCTGCATGCCAGAGGTAAGAGTGCTTAAGGCTCTTAGGGATTATTTGCATTTTAAAATTAGTAACACAAATGAATGTTTATTGCACTGAATATTTGCTGTATTTTTCACTGGGAAGGAACTAGTGTTCAAGTGACTGCAAAATTCTTACTTTGAGTGCTTATAAAATTTGACCTTGACTAGTTCTAGGAGGTAAACTGGAAGAAGCACAGTTTGATGCCATATTAACATTTTGGATTCAAATCCCTGCTCCTTGATTTACTAGATGTCTAATATCTGACATGGGAAAATAACTTAACTTTTGAATTTTATTTCTTCCATATGTAAAGTGAGGAGCCATAAATCTCCAAGAGATGTTGGATTTAAATGAGATAATATTTGTAAAATGCTTTGCATAATGTCTGGCCCATAAATGGTTGATAGGAAGTAACATAAGTTTCTTTCTTCTGTCCTCACTTCTATTTTACTGATGAGAGTACAAGTGCTGATTAAGGCTCGGGAAGAAAAGTGACTTGCCTAGCTAGGATTCCAGCGAAGTTCTCTCCAATTTGCAAGTCTGTGATGCTTCTAATTGGAAGCCTTAATGTTCTTATTAACCTATTGTAGGAGCTCTCACCCTTCTTGTTCCCTAGGCTGCTGGGCTTGGCATCACTTTCCAGTTCTGTCATTTTGCAAAGTGGTCCATAGGACTTAAAACCAGTTACTGATCAGTATAGTCAATCAAAAGAACTCTTTAGAAGATGTCCTGCTTGGAATGATGTACTGAACTTATTGAACTGAAATAGTATGGTGTTATATATAAAAATGCCTTTTCATTGTTAAAAAACATTACTGTGCTTTATTTGGCAGGTTGACGAGATTAGAGAGATGGTTGATAACGATTTAGGTTTCCAACAGGCTCCACTAATGTGCTATTCCAGAACTAAAACACTTCTCTTTATTTCTAATGACAAAAAAGTAGTTGGCTGCCTAATTGCAGAACATATCCAGTGGGTAAGTGGTTTTCAAAGAGTACTCATTAGTAGTTTGGTGTTGAGTGAGTTTACTGTGTAATCTTGAATAACATAATCCTAATAAATTTGTCTATATTTTGTATAAGGAAGAGTATGAATTTAAAAATTCCGTGTATGATTCTTTACCATAGTGAAGTTGTATCTTGTATGGGAATCAGTTTCTCCAGATAGATAAAAACTCTGTAGAATCAAAAGTACTGTTGAAGTTTCTTCAGTAAGTTTCCGTATTGAATATTAATATAATGTCTTTCTCAATTAGTCCCTCCAGCACTAGAATAAATCAAGGGTAGGCAAACTCTATAGCAGGCAAAAACCAGCTCGTTTTTATAACTAAAATTTTCTTGTAACAGCCATACCCATATGCTTGCACATTTGTTTATGACTGCTTTCATACTGCAAAGGCAGGGTTAAGTAGTTGCAATATAGTAGTTGCAATTTTAGGCTGCAGTGCCTAAAATACTTACTATCTGGGCATTTATAGAAGGTTTGCCCACCTCTAGAATAGATCACTTCTTTGACTAAGCTCTAGGTGAGTAGTTGGCATGTGGTTAGGAGCCAAATTGTACAAAAAACAAATGATAGAATCACAGTAAAGGATGTGTTCACATTATGAGTGTTATGTAGTAATTGAGACCAACCTAAGACAACAGAAGTTTCTGGTCTCCCTAATTATGCTCACTTTGAGGCATACTTTAATTCTGTTTTTTTTTTTTTTTTAGCTGAATTCTCCCTTATGAATTCAGTACATTGTATGTGTCTCTGTTCAGTTGGTATTTTTTAGCACAGTTATAGGTGCCTTCAAATGTATGCTTTACCATAAAACTTTCTAATAAAGTAAAAATCAAAACAAGTCTACATGAATTTATTTCTGTATGTTAAGCTACATGTTTAACAATTCAGCCTGAAATTGTGTAGTTCTTATGATTCTTGCTGTAATAACAAAATTGGTTTAAATAGTTGCTTTAAAATAACTCAGAATTTTGCCATACTGTGATTGAGTTAATTTTACTCAAATTAAATTGTTGTGTTTTTAAATTTCTATTCCACCTAATTCCAAAAATGACTTATAGCAGTGTTTAAACTAGAAGATAAATATATAATGTTTGTTTGGGTTGTTTTTGTTAAATATTAATAGTGTTGTCTTATTGCTTAAGTTTTATACCCTGTCCCATCAGAAGTCTGGTCATGTCTTTTTTGGCGATTAGACTGGTAGAGGAGATTTACATTTTTTAAAGTACTTTTTTTTTTTTTTTTAAAGAGATCTGGGTGTGGGGAAAGGGCCTTTCTAATTTCTTGATTTCTCTGCCATCCCTATTCCTAGTTTTTACACAGCTGTGAACCTTAGAACTATGGCAGCAACCACAGGAATAGTTATTATTGCTGATACCTTAACATGTACGTTTCCTGGTCCTTAGATTGCGGGAGGTGGAGAGAACTAACATTCAGTTCCAGTTATGGGCCTCTCACGATGGCAAAATGCCTTGTGTATATTGCCTTATTTAATCTCAAAATGAGACATGATAGATATGCCCAATTTATGAGTGAGGAACCCAAAGTTTATAGAAATTAAATGACTTCCTCTCATGGTTACATAACAAGTAAGTGAATTAGAACAGAATGTAGATACAGGTTAGTGTGTTTCCTAAAAGTGAGAATGGTCCCCATAGTTTGTTAAGAAGCCAGACAAATGTAGTGACCTCATCAACAAGATCAATACTAAATGATTGCTAATTAATAGTTTCACTTTAAAAATTTCCCCCAACTTTGACACCGGTAGGGCTACAGAGTTATAGAAGAAAAACTTCCAGTTATCAGATCAGAGGAAGAAAAAGTCAGATTTGAAAGGCAGAAAGCCTGGTGCTGCTCAACATTGCCAGAGCCTGCAATCTGTGGGATCAGTCGAATATGGGTATTCAGCATGATGCGTCGGAAGAAAATTGCTTCTCGCATGATTGAATGCCTAAGGTAACTTGAATGTAATACTTCAAATCATTTTTAGTAGGTTAGGATTTAAGCAGAGTTTTAGTATAAAGATTGACATTTAATTAATCATAAGTGTATAACCTTAATTTGTATTAATTATAAATTTTGCATGATTATCAGTGTATTGGATCTGTTAGTACTTTTTAAGTGAAGTTAATCTGAGGAGGAAGAAAGCACTGTAGGTTAAATATTATTAAACCATTTTGACTTATTTATTTGTAACTAATGGTGTTAGGTCAAAATAACCCACTTATTTCAAGCTGTGTTCGATGCTGGAGAATTTTAAACATAACTAAAGAAATGTAGAAAGTTTCTTGGGAGTTTAGCTTTTAGAGAAATTTGTCTGAATTTAAGAATATTATTTGTAAACTATGTTAGTCTCTTATTAGTTTTTCTTCTTTTTTTTTTTTTTCTGGTGGCTAGCTGGTACAGGGATTGAACCCTGGACCTTGCATTATCAGCACCACACTCTAACCAACTGAATTAAATGGCCAGCCCACCCAGGTTTTCTTCTTTTGTCACTTGATCGTTTATCAAAGATATCGAGGGGAGGGCCGGCCCAGTGGCGCACTGCTACAGTGCGCCGCTTGGGAGCGCGGTGGCGCTCCCATGGCCAGCCCACCCAGGTTTTCTTCTTTTGTCACTTGATCGTTTATCAAAGATATCGAGGGGAGGGCCGGCCCAGTGGTGCACTGCTACAGTGCGCCGCTTGGGAGCGCGGTGGCGCTCCCGCTGAGGGTTCGGATCCCACATACAGACCGGTTCCTGCTCACTGGCTGAGCGAGGTGTGGGAGCAACACTGAGGGTTGCGATCCCGTTGCCGGTCCCGGTCCGGTGCGGGCGCGACACTGAGGGTTGCGATCCGTTGCCGGACACGAAAAAAGACAAAAAGGAAAAAAAAAAAAAAAAGATATCGAGGGGAGACTCAGACAAAAATCGTATGTTTTGTTTTTTGTTCTGTAAAGCATCTTTGATAAAGGATTAATGGAAGTTAAAATTAATCATTCAAAAAAGGTTTTTAGGTCAGTCTATTTTTGTTTATTCATAGAATTCTTGTGTACTGTTGTTATCTGTGAATATAGCTTTCAAAATAATCTGTTGTTGTTCTAAGAATCTCAGCATCTTAATGTATATCTGATCTGTTCCCCTTATTTTATCAATTAGTAATGATCCAGAAGGGTTCAGATCTGTCCACCCTTTTTATGACAAGAGTCAGGTCTGTTTTTAGCTCTTCCAGAACTAATATGGAAAATTAACTGATCAAATCGTAGTCCTAACTGAGGGTTATTGCCTCTTCTTTAAATCTTGTGATACCTATAAGATGGTTCTAGTTTATTAAAAACAACAACAACAAAAAACAGTATAGTAGTGGTGTTTGTTCTTTGTAATAGTGAAATTGCCTATATAAGCTTGTTGAAACACAGTTTCTACTTTTTTCATTTACTATTTCTTCCTATATAGTATGTCTTCCTGTTATTAGAGTCCAGCATTCCTTGTTAAGGTTACAACATGAAGATTTTACTAGTAGGCAATATACTTTCTAAATGTTTTTTTAAAATTTTAATAATAGCTTTATTAAGGTATAATTATATGCCATAAAATTCATCTTTTTAAAGTTTATCGTTAAGTAGGTTTTAGTTTATTCAGAAGGCTATGCAACCACCACCACTATCTAATTTCAAGACACTTCCATCCCCTGCGCCACAAAAAAAACCATCCCCATTAGCAGTGAATCCCCATTTCCTCCTTGTCCCCAGTCCCAGCAATGACCAATTTTCTTTCCATCTCAGTGGATTCACCTATTCTGAATGTTGCATATAAATGGAATCCTACAACATAAAACCTTTTGTGACTGTTTT